CCTACTCCTCTGAGTGATAGGTGCCGCCCAGAACACACCCAACATTTATCATTTAAGTTCGTCATCTTATATGGGCATGGTTCAGTTACATCAGTGACATCAAAGATCACCTTTTACAATCAACAGGTAAAATACTAACAAAAAGTCTGATATTGCGAGAATTACCACACTGTGTCAGAGACAGGAAACGCACGCACGCTGTTGCAGTGCAGTAAAGCAAAGCACACTAAACGAGGCATGCCTGTACTAAGAGAGATCGACTCTCACAGAACTTCAAACTCACTCAAAACTTGAGGGGTGGAGGACCTATTTTGGTTAAATATACTGAAGATCAAGTGATCTAAAGTAAACAGCAGGAGGCACAATAAAAACAGTAACATGGGATAAATTATTCTAAGCTAAAGAATTAAAATATTTACCATTACATAAAGGAAAACTTATATTAAATTAACATTTTGCCAACTGTATTATCCACATCCAACATTCCAATTCTTTCTTGCTACCTTCTGAGTTATCTGTTCATGATGCTTATCTGTGAAGCACCACGTCTGTTGTCTGTGATGCTTTTTTTTTTCCATACTCCTCACTTGGGTCTTTGATTTTTTTCTGGTTTGGTTATGTTCTGCCACTTGCCAATTCCTTGTAGCAGTGTGGTTGCCACAGATAAAGATGATGAAATTCAACTACATGAATATAGTTACTTACTAGTAGTTGTGGAAAATGATGATAGCTTGATAAAGTGAGGGTACTGGATCATCCCAGGTTTCCAAACAGCCATGTAATGACTATCCTTACATTATGAAGTTATAATGAGAAGAGCAACTGAGTCTCTCCCCTAATAATGATGAAGTGATTACTTACCTTTCCTATGGCAAGTCCTTCATAATTCAATTTTCCTTCCTTTATGAAACTATAGAGTGGAGAACCAGGAACAGAATTAAAGTCACCACACATAACTATTGGACAGAAGCTGCCATCTTTCTGATGGGCAACACTAGAAATCTCTGCCAGTAGCATTGCCAATTGGGTTAACTTAATATCACCTCGCCTTGGATTGTACAACAAATGTGTATTAGCTACACAGATCGCTGGAGAGGCAGCACACGGGATTTTGGGCTGTAAGAGTAAAACTAATCCAACATTGTCTCTGTCCAATAGAGGAATATCAGGGCGGTAGAATTCCACTGGGTTCACTGATAAGAGGGAAAATTTGGAATGTTTGAAGCAAATAGCACAGCCATCAGGTTTCTTTCCTGTCCGCATCTTATATTCACAGTGATAACCTATAAGAAAGAAATGAATTTAAAGAAGGGACTGTTTTTATACATACATGTCAAAACAGCTAACTTAATACTTTTGAATAATGTTTAACAAAGTATATTGTGTAAACATTAGTAATAATCTTTACACGTGCTGGAATAAAAAATGTTGAAGACTAGGTCTAACCAGCCTCTTTACTGGAAAACTAAGTCCTTAATATAGGGTGACCAGACGTTCCACTTTTCAACAATTTGTCCCGCGTCCCGTGGCATTTTAAAAAAGTCCCAATTTTTGGAAAGACTGCACGAACAGGCGGGACAACAGGAAGGGAATATACGGTTTTCGGCTGCCATGTGGCTATTTCGCCAGAATATGAGTTTTATATTATTTTTGTTAATTTTATAATGTTAAACTGTAATAATAACAAATAATTGTTGAGAAGTGATTATTGAGAACTGC